TCGCAGAGCTTACAGGTATTAGAACAGGGAAGCTACAGAGACAGAGCCGAGGAGTAAGCTCTAAACTCGGGGTTACCTTGAACCGGTCGCAGGCTCGGTCAGCTCGGAGCGCAGCCGGAGGCAGGGTGACGGGAGTAAATCGGCGCTGTTCTCTGAGGGCGCACTGAGGAGTGGGGCCCCGGGCTCTCGGCTCCTCCGGGCTGGAGACCGGGAGGCCGCCATCTTCATTCCCGCCCTCCAGAACTCTACGGAAAGCGCTCAGGGAACAAAAGCTCCCGAAAGCAAACCCGAGCGGATTACTCAGCCCGGCCCGGGTAAGGGCGGTGCAACTCCGCCCGGGGCAAAGACACTTGAGAATCACTACAACAGGCCCCTCCCCCAGAAGATCAACAAGAAACCCAGCCAGGACCAAGTTCACCTACCAAGGAGTGCAGTTTCAATACCAAGGAGAGCAGTGGAATTCCAAAGGAGGAGAAAGCAAAGCACGGAACTCATGGCTTTCTCCCCATGATTCTTTAGCCTTGCAGTTAATTTAATTTTTCATTCTTTTTCAATTTATTTTTCTTCTTCTGCTAATTTTTTTTAACTTTTACCCTTTTCTTTTTTAACGTTTTTTAACTAGCTTATCTAATATACGTATATATATATATTTTTCCTTTTTATATTTTTTCTTTATTGGTTGTCTTTTTTTAATTGTTTCTTTTTTTTTTTTCTTCTTTCTGAACCTCTTTTTATCCCCTTTCTCCCCCCTCACGATTTGGGATCTCTTCTGATTTGGCTAAAGCATATTTTCCTGGGGTTGTTGCCACCCTTTTAGTATTTTACTTGCTCCTTCATCTGCTCTTATCTGGACAAAATGACAAGGCGGAAAAATTCACCACAAAAAAAAGAACAAGAGGCAGTACCAAAGGCTAAGGACCTAATCAATACAGACATTGGTAATATGTCAGATCTAGAGTTCAGAATGACAATTCTCAAGGTTCTAGCCGGGCTTGAAAAAGGCATGGAAGATATTAGAGAAACCCTCTCGGGAGATATAAAAGCCCTTTCTGGAGAAATAAAAGAACTAAAATCTAACCAAGTTGAAATCAAAAAAGCTATTAATGAGGTGCAATCAAAAATGGAGGCTCTCACTGCTAGGATAAATGAGGCAGAAGAAAGAATTAGCGACATAGAAGACCAAATGACAGAGAATAAAGAAGCTGAGCAAAAGAGGGACAAACAGCTACTGGAACATGAGGGGAGAATTCGAGAGATAAGTGATACCATAAGACGAAACAACATTAGAATAATTGGGATTCCAGAAGAAGAGGAAACAGAGAGGGGAGCAGAAGGTATATTGGAGAGAATTATTGGAGAGAATTTCCCCAATATGGCAAAGGGTACAAGCTTCAAAATCCAGGAGGTTCAGAGAACCCCCCTCAACATCAATAAGAATAGTTCCACACCCCGTCACCTAATAGTAAAATTTACAAGTCTTAGTGACAAAGAGAAGATCCTGAAAGCAGCCCGGGAAAAGAAGTCTGTAACATACAATGGTAAAAATATTAGATTGGCAGCAGACTTATCCACAGAGACCTGGCAGGCCAGAAAGAGCTGGCACGATATATTCAGAGTACTAAACGAGAAGAACATGCAGCCAAGAATACTATATCCAGCTAGGCTATCATTGAAAATAGAAGGAGAGATTAAAAGCTTCCAGGACAAACAAAAACTGAAAGAATTTGCAAATACCAAACCAGCTCTACAGGAAATATTGAAAGGGGTCCTCTAAGCAAAGAGAGACCCTAAAAGTAGTAGATCAGAAAGGAATAGAGACAATATACAATAACAGTCACCTTACAGGCAATACAATGGCACTAAATTCATATCTCTCAATACTTACCCTGAATGTTAATGGGCTAAATGCCCCAATCAAAAGACACAGGGTATCAGAATGGATAAAAAAACAAAACCCATCTATATGTTGCCTACAAGAAACTCATTTTAAACCCAAAGACACCTCCAGATTTAAAGTTAGGGGGTGGAAAAGAATTTACCATGCTAATGGACATCAGAAGAAAGCAGGAGTGGCAATCCTTATATCAGATCAATTAGATTTTAAGCCAAAGACTATAATAAGAGATGAGGAAGGACACTATATCATACTCAAAGGAACTGTCCAACAAGAAGATCTAACAATTTTAAATATCTATGCCCCTAACATGGGAGCAGCCAACTATATAAACCAATTAATAACAAAATCAAAGAAACACATCGACAATAATAAAATATGAATCAAGATGTCGGTTGAACCAATGAAGATTAATGATTGACAGCACATTCCAGAGAATGGTTCATTTCAGAATAACAAAACTGCTTTATTTCCTCTTAACAATGACCAAGAAAATTAAATTATATTAACTTGAACAACACTTTTTTTTTTAAATTCCAGGTTATTTCTTAAAACTGTTTTGGGTATGTTTTAGGCATCTTGAGAATTCTGTCAGTTTACTTACATTAAAAGATAAGCAGAAGGGGAACCTGGGTGGCTCAGCTGGTTAAACAACCTACTCTTGGTTTCAGCCCAGGTCATGATCTCAGCCTCTACAGACAGACCCCCCAACCCCATCAGGTTCTACCCTCAGTGCAGAATCAGCTTGAAATTCTTTCCCCTCCTCCCTCTCTCTCCCCTCTCTTCTTCCCAACTGAGCACACTCTCGTGTTCTCTTTCTGTCTCTCAAATAAATAAATAAAATCTTATTTAAAAATGAGCAGAAATCAGAGTTGTTGAAGATAAGGATTTATATAGATTAAACATTGGAACATATGTCTGGACTCTAATATCTAACATAACTTGTGTTTTAGATCTCCAAACTTAAGTTGCCATACATTGGAATGTTCCGGTTTCTGATGAGTTAGTTCTATGGAGCTAATATATTTTGGTAATATCTTCCATCTATGATATTATAATACACAGTCTATTTTAATTTTCATTCTTAGAAGATGCTTACCATTCTTCACATGCACATATCATATGAACATGGAGACCACACATTTTAGATCTGAAAGACCCTGGGAACTTTTTATGTTAAAAGTGTTGCTCACTTTTGAAGAGTTGGAAAACAGGATGCTTCGTGGTACTGACCCTGCCCCATGTTCTCAGTTTCATCCTCAAAGCTCTTATTAAAAATCAGAACTTGGGGCACCTGGGTGGTTCAGTGGATTAAAGCCTCCACCTTCAGCTCAAGTCATGATCCCAGGATCCTGGGATCGAGCCCCACATCAGGCTCTCTGCTCAGCAGGGAGCCTGCCTCCCCCTGTCTCTCTACCTGCCTCTCTGCCTACTTGTGACTCTGTCAAATAAATAATTTTTTTTAAATCGAAACTTATTGATAGCACAGAGCAGTATTAAATCACTGATAATTATTCATGGCGTATGATCTCCAGAAAAAAAGACTAATACCCTTGATACACGATGGTTCCAGAGAGTTAGAAGGATAAAAATTGAGACAGACATTGGGCAAGTTGTGTCCTTTTGAGATTTCTCTGCCCCTACCAGATATATACCCATACAGTGATCAGCTAATAGTCTTCTCCTTATTTAACTTTCTTAAAAATGAAACTGAGATTTTTTTTTAAATGATCAAGTTCAAAGTAGGAGCCATTACAAATATAGCATATGCACACACACCTAAAAACACACTCAGCAACCTATATTTTGGTTACTCTGCTGCATGTGAAAGAGCTCTTGGCTTAGAATTTTAGGGTTGCAGTTGCAAAGTTTAATTCTAAAGCAAAGAACTTTTTTCTGTCTTTCCATTTGGTTTGTGGAATTACAATACATCATATAGAGCTAATCTTAGCCAGGGATTACCCCAAGGATAAAACTAACTTCTTTCTCCGACATTAGCCCCAGCCAATTTATACAAGAATTATGGGATTGTAGCTAAAATTAGAAGTCTTCAGTGACTTAGCTAAATTTCATTTCCTAAGTTTCGTTTGCAGTATCAAAATTTGTTATTTTCCAAGTTCATTGACTAAAATATGTGTATTTATGATGAGATGTGTCCTTCGTAAAATCTGATTGTTTATAACCCAGGGCTTTGTGGTTTCTCCAATATTTTAAGTTAACATTTTGGTTCTTACATGTTACCAATGATTTTTAAAATTTATTTTAATTCAAGGATCATCTTTGTTTTCTTTTATAAGAAACTGTCCTCCACTTTCCTTTTGTCTTTTTCTCATTTGTTGGTAGTGTCTCAATTCTTTATCATTTCTCAACAGAAGATTTCTACAAATTAAACCTCTAGGATACAGTTATTTTAGAGCACAATTATATGACCATATCAGCATTTAATTAAGTATGTTTTCGTCTTTCAGTGGTTTCTTTTCTAATTATTGCTTTATTATATACTTTAGCAAAGCTAACCTATTGCCAATCTCCAAAACTTGAGCATTTCGGGGCCATTTATCCTAAATTTTATTTCTGTATCTAGTAAGGGGATTGTTTCTGTTAACTGCTGGTGCATTAACCAACTACCCACAAATGGTTTAAAACAATCACTTTATTAACTCTCACAAATCTGAGGGTTAACAGAGGCTCAACTGGATGGTTCTTCCTCTGGTCTCATTTGGAGTCTCTCATGCAGCTTCAGTCTATGGCAGATGGGGCTTCATTCTGGCCTCCTGGTGGGAAGGCTTGGCTCCGCTAGGACAGCTGAACATTTCCCTTTCTGCGTGGCCTCCAGCAGAGTGGCGCAGCTTTTTACATGGCAGCTCAGGACTTCCAAAAGGGCAAAAGTAGAAACTGCCAGACCTTCTAAAGACTTAGTCCCACAGTTAGTTCTGCCACATTCCATTGGTTGAAGTCATCGGGTCAGCTCGGGCTTAGGAGGAAATAGGACATAAGTACTGGAAGGTGCGGCTAGTTGAGGCCATGTCTGAAGACCAACTACCACAGGGGTTATGTTTTCTTTTTTCTCCATTAAGACCTTGTTTCTTCTCTACTCCTTTTTTAGTTCTCTGCATCTCTGGTAGTTTACCCAAGCCTACAAATATCACCTTCTTATCCATAAATATGAGGAATATCCTACAGTGGAGCCCACCAGAGGGCCTACAAGGAACTGAAGTTACTTACACTGTGCAGTATTTCATGTAAGTTGGTTCTTTTGCTTTGGGCTGGTTTATAAACCCACGATTCAGACACCTAGTAACTGTGCAAAGATAAACCATTCTATTGTAGTAAGTGGAAAAAAGAAAAGTTTTCAGTATTCCCTGCTAAATTTTCTTGGACTGTTCTGTGAGATTAAATTAGAAAACCATTTCTTGGTGAAGACAGAAGCATTGGGGGCTTAGGTGAGGGAAAGTTATGTTAAGTGGGGGAGAAGTTGGTCAAAATGTTATTCTGTGGCTGAGAAAACAAGGAAATCCATTGTCTCTGAAATGTCTAAACTTAATTGGAATTACAGACATTTTTAAGTGAAACTGAGTGCAGATTACTGTGCCGTTAGCTCTTCCTATTGAAGATAGTGAATGGACATTTCCACATTTCACCTGTCCCCCAAAAAGCATTATACATCAACAATGAATCTTGGAACACTGCATCAATAACTAATGATGTATTTTATGGTGAGTAAAATAACACAAATTTTAAAAAATTCATTGCAAGCAAGAAAGAATGCAAACGTATAGATGATGCCCATGTTCAAGGAAACCGAGGAAATGGCCAAACCTCAAGCCACAAGCCATGGAGCGTACAAACGAAATATTGTGAAGTCTGAAGAAAAACAACTGCAGAAACTGAAAATGAATCTATACCTTCTTAAACTCCAACAGTAGAAAATAATTCTACAAGAATAAATGTCATAGTATTAAAAGGTATACCTAACAACCTAAGGATTTCTGCCACTAGAAATTGAGGATATGTCCCCCATGATCCCCAGTTTGGAGCCACGGAATGTCAGAGAAGGAGGAGCTGAAAGAGAAATCGTGTTCAAGTGACACTTTCACTGTAGAGGCCCAGTAGCCCCGGTGAGATGGGTGCAGGAGGGAGGAAAGGTGATGATGGCTGGGAGGCACCGATGGGGTACTATGACTTTACTAATGTCATATAGCACATCAGCCTCCAGCAGTTGCCAAATGTGAGGGTGGGCAGGCTCTCCAGAAAAGGGAATAATATGATTTGGAGAGCAAGTGTGTGACATACCCTCTGTCCTATACCCATTTGCCCAAAGAATCTGGCATAGGACCTCTCCATTATTACCAGAAGGAAGAAAGACAAACACACACACACACACACATACACACACACACACACAAGTGAAAAGTTCCTTAAAAGCTTTCTCATGGAACCAGGAGAAAATTTCAGACAAATAACTATTCGTAGTTTGAGTCTATATACAACATGATCCCTAATGGTAAATCCGAACGGAGAGAGGGAGGGAGGGAGGGAGGAAGGAAGGAAGGAAAAAAGGACGGAAGGAAGAAGGAAAGAAGGGAGGGAGGGGAGAGAAAAAGAAAGAAAGCAAGAAGTTAAAGAAAAGATTCTAAGACAAGGGGAAGAATTTTTAAGCAGGCGGCAGAGCTTAGGGAAGAGTTGGAAAATAAAAATGCTATATAGAGATGAAAACTCTATGGCTAACTGATAGTAATTGAACAAGTGAGAATGTCTGGAGTTGTGCATAATGAGTACATGCTCAATCTAGGAAAACATAATAAAAACAATAGGAAGACTTATCCTGGTGAGATTATTGAACTTTAGGAAGAGGAAGTACTTTATGACTGTCATAGCAAGAGCAGGGCGCTCAAGGGACACAGGGGTAGGGGGATGATTTCTGTCTGCTGACACTCAACAGAAGAAAGTGATACATCCTCTGAGGGAAAAATAGGTGTGATCTAAGATTCTTACCAAATTTCAACAGACATATTTTCAAGCAAGTGAGATGTCGGGAGAGCACTCCCGTGAGATCTTCTTGAGGGGGAGAAAACCACTAACTAAAGATGATATCAAGCTGACAGAGGTAAAGATGACCCTGAAGGAAGAACTCAGTACTGACAAGATTAATTGTCATTGTGAAAAGACTGGTACATGCACTGAGACTATCTAAGTGAAGAACTGAGACTAAGTATTGATGGGGAATGGGGTTATCGAAATTTCTTGTAAATGTTTGAAAACTAAACAATGATATAACAAATTAGAAGGTGGGAAATATCTATAAGTGTACTGAGTTTCATAGCAAGAAGCCATTAAATGTGATCTAAAATGAAAATATTTCATCACCTTGATAACCAAACTTTCAATATTTTTCATAAACCATTTTCTTACTTCAATAGATTTTTTAGAAACCACTATCTCTTGTGATGATGAAACACTTGAACTACAACAATTCTTTTAATTTCACTTCAATTTCTTTTTCTGTTGAAGTTCAAATCAGAGGGCATCTAGGTGGCTGAGTTGGTTAGGCATCCTACTCTTGATTTTGGCCTCAGTCATGATCTCAGGGTCCTGGGATTGAGCCTGGGAGTGGGTTCTGAGCTCAGCATGGAGTCTGCTTGGGATTCTCTCTCTCCCAACTTGCACTCAATAAATAAATAAATAAATCTTAAATAAACTTCAAATCAGGCTAAATTTGCAATCTTGATTAAAACCATATGTATGGTATAATCTAGTTATTGTCTGTATATGCAGCCAACTAGTCATTCCTGTGTGAATAGAGAAACATAACGAGATGTCCAGAATCATGTATGCCAAATATTTTAGGCTAATGGGTTTTAGAGTGACTTCCTTCTCTGTTGATTACACATTTTTTATTTTTTGAGTTAAAGAAGAAAAAAGTACCCTATTAACCACAACAAAAAGAACAAAGTCATTTTTCTCTATGAAGAAAATATTCTGACCACTAAGGCAGGGAAATACTTCAACAGCTATTCACGATGACCTCACTTATCTAGAGCCTCATTTTCATTTTTGAAGAGTTTCTCTGGAAGCTGGTGTTTTAGGAAAGGAGACATCACTCTGCAAAGAGGAAGCGGCTGTTGAGTGTGCCCTGGCCTCTTTTTCCATTAAGTGAAGCAAAGAGTCTGCAATGTCCTTTACATGTTTGATTCTGAAAAGGAAAACAAAAAAATAGAGTGATCACTGCTCTGTGAGAGCAAATAACTTAGACGGTACAAATTTCCAAAATAAATAAAGAAACTCGCCATGTCGGAGGTCTGACATGCTCGTGCACGTCCAAGATGGACAGAAATACAGAGCAGTGTCTGTCACTGACAAGGTTCCAAGCTCAGCTCCAAGGCCAAACAGTCCTTGGTTTGCAGTCAGGCTGTCATCCTAGCCAGGTAACCTTGGGAAACTTACATATTATGATTTCACACTTTGGAGTGAAGTTTGTTTCCAAGTAAAAGATGACATTTTAACAACAGTTTAAACTCTACCTGCCAAGAGAATTTAGTGCAGAAAATATATAGTGCACTATGGAAAACACAAGCTTTGGAACAAGCTATGGAAAGTGGCTCAGAATCCAGTAAAGTGTATTTTCTCCTCCATCAGCCTCTGTCATGGGAAGCTGCCCTGCCCCTGGCAGGAGTGAGGAAAGTGAAGGAGAGGGGATCAAATGGGTGATGGCAGTATTTTCCAAACCCTAAGTCAGGAGCTGTTGTTGGACCATGAAATCAGTTTTGACGGACATAGCTAGCATTATTTTCAATGGAAAGGACTGGAATGGTGTGAAGTGGACTGGAGTGGAAAATCACTGAACTGATGGCATGCACTACAGTTTAAATAGAATCTTGTGGAAACTTTGTTTTAATATCTTAAATATATGTATGTTTCTGTGAGCTGGGTCACAATATAAAATGAATTATGTCTTTTGGCTCACAGACAAAAAATGTATGAAAGCCGTTAGGCAATGGGGACTGCTTCCTGGAGAAGTTGGTCGACAAGATCTTAACTGTATGTCTAACGTCTTCGGGCAGGTATGGTGCCTACAAAACAGAGAGAGTAGCCTTCAGAAATCTGTTGCCATATTCTGAAAGGAGAAGATACCCTTAAGCTTGAATAACACTTGATAAAGTCCACATTTCCTCATTCTCAAGACATGCTCTTGCCTTATGTGATGCCTGTTTCTCCTACTCCCACTCTAGCTGCTATTTCTTTTCTTTTTTATTTTTTAGGTAGGCTCCATTCCTAGTGAGGAGCCAGTACAAGGCTTGAACTCAGAACCCTGAGATCAAGACCTGAGCTGACACCAAGAGTCAGATGCTCAACTGAATGAGAACCCAGGTGCCCCTAAATTGCTATTTATAACTGTACTTTGCATCCAACCTTTAAAACTTCATGATCCTGGAATTTTATGCTAAGCTTTGCTCTGGCTCCAGGGTCATTTCATTCATACCTAAGCCTTCAATGAACAGTTTTGTGCCCTTGATTTCAAAATCACTGCCTCCCACTCAGTCCTCTTTCCTGAGCCCCAGGGCCTACTGGGCATTCATGCAGCTGGATGTCTTTCACATACCTGAGGCTCAATGTGCAAAAAACTGAACTTTTTACCTTTCCTTCCTCCTCCCCCCTCCTCCCCATTTCCCAAACCTATTGCATGGTATTCTTTCCCTTGGGAAACGTTACCACTATCTCAGACAGAAAGAGACACCATCCTGAACACCTTCATCTCCCTTATCTCTTACCTCCACTCAGTCACCAAGTCCTGTTTCCCCTAAAGTTCTTCCTTTTGTCTTGTCATTTGTTCTACTACCACCATCCTTGTTCAAGCCACCGACATCTTCCCAGCTGGACCACCACAGGATCTCCCCAAGTGTTCCCCAGACTGCCACCCCTACCCCCCTGCATTCTCCATGCTACACCTGTTAGCTTTCTAAAACCCCGGCACACCTGCTTTAATGCCTTCCTAGCCTCCCACGCAACCCTCTCTCACAGGCTCAGCCGGTGGCACTTCAACTCTCTATACCTCAGTGTTTCCCATCTGAAAATTGTTAAAAATATTTTCCCTTCTCTACCTGCTAGGGGTGTGTGTCTTTAATAAAGGAAAGAAGAAATCAATATCAATAACCGAGTCAATATCATCACTATCACTACATGCCACAGTTGGCATAGACTCTACCCTAACCAATTTTCTCTAGACCCTTCATAGAAAGTAGATATTAAATTTATGAGAATGTCAAGGTATTTTTTCTTCCAAGAAAAAAATGGCTAGTATTTCTTTTTTCTTTTTTTTTTTTAAGATTTTATTTATTTGACAGAGAGAGAGTGATCACAAGCAGGCAGAGAGGCAGGCAGAGAGAGAGAGAGGAGGAAGCAGGCTTCCCGCTGAGCAGAGAGCCTGATGCGGGGCTCGATCCCAGGACCCCGAGATCATGACCTGAGCCGAAGGCAGAGGCTTAACCCACTGAGCCACCCAGGCACCCCAAATGGCTAGTATTTCTTAAAAATAGCCCATCAGGGGCACCTGGGTGACTCAGTGGGTTAAAGCCTCTGCCTTCGGCTCAGGTCATGATCTCAGGGTCCTGGGATTAGGCCCCGCATCGGGCTCTTTGCTTGCGGGGAGCCTGCTTCCTCCTCTCTCTCTCTCTCTCTCTCTCTCTCTCTGCCTGCCTCTCTGTCTACTTGTGATCTATCTGTCAAATAAATAAATAAAAATCTTTAAAAAAAAATAGCCCATCAAATTGACCTTAATAGGCATAGTGCACTAAAATCGTACATAGATAATTACTAGAAGAATTGATCATATGATATGTAAAATTTTTACTGTAGACCAAGAATAAAAAAATACAGGCTTTCAAAATGTACTATCCACCTTATAATTCACAGAAAAGAGAGGTGATTGCAGAAATTCTGATTCATGCTCCTGAGAGGTAATGAAAAAAATTGCCAGCAGCAAATCTGGATTCTTTTTTATCTCAGTGACAGGTACTTTTGTTGTTCCACAGTGAAGGTCTGAACTTCCATTGAGTTTTGTGTAATAACTGTTTTTTTCCTATTGGAAAGCACATAGGGCACCTCATTATTAATTCAGTTTCTTTCTCAGCAGATATGGGCAAAAGAAGTGGCTGAATAAATCCGAATGCAGAAATATCAGTAGGACCTGCTGTGATCTCTCTGTGGAAACTTCTGATTACGAACATCAATATTATGCCAAAGTTAAGGCCATTCGGGAAACGAATTGTTCCAAATGGGCAGAAACTGGACGATTCTATCCATTCTTAGAAAGTAAGTAACACACTGTAAACTCCAACAATAACAAGTTCTTCTGTCCATCGAGCGTACAGTATCAGCCTCGCAGACAGCCTACCTAGGAGGCCAGGGCTCTGAGCACTCTGTTCTGCGCTCTGTCCAGCTGCTGGGTGACCAGCCCATGGTGCCCCACCTCACAGCATCTCAGAGTTTCATCTTGACAATGACTGGTTTTGCTTGCTCATTGTCAAACTAAGTGTCTTCTTGTTCTGAACATGGCAATGTGATGACGTATTTCTAGGTGTAACTCAGAATTCAGGCAACAACTTCCTGATGTTTGCTTCTTTCATTTTTCCATCCCTTGTTCTGTGGCTGATTCAGCCATAGAGGACCCACTCAGAGCTGCCATAATGAAGTTTACAAGACCTTCTCACTAGAGCCGGAACCTCTCCAATGGTGCCCTTCTAGATCAGACTTCAGCAAACTATGTCTTCAGATCAAATACACCTCGGCCCCCTTTCCATTTGTCTATGGACCGAGAGCTAAGAATACTTTTTACATTTACATAAATAAGAGCTACAACAGAGGTCATATGGCCTGTAAAGCCTAAAGTACTTCCTGTCTGAACCTTTATAGCAAAAGTTTGCGAACCTCTGTTCTAGACCATTCTAAGTTATTTAACACTGTTTCATTCCACCATGGCTGATTTCCACCACACATCAAATCATGTTAATGTTATTTATCACCAACTTTTCAAGTCACAGGAGTGTTGTAAACACTTTTAGTTGTATTTACCACCTGTTTACCCATGAGATTAGGCACCAAGTAAATACAAGACTTGAATTTTCTGTTTTCATATTGTATCAGGGAGTATGAAATGATTGTTTCAGGATGTGGCATAACTCAGACTCACCTGAGAACAATCTGAGTCATCTCAACTAAGAGGGGGGCTTTAGACTTTGATTCCAGTAGGGTGATATTGTAGTTTTATCCATGGTGATTTCTACATCTGAATATGATAACTCCCTCTCCCCTCCCCTTTAAGCACAAATTGGCCCACCGGGAATCGTTTTGATGACAGATGAGAGATCCATTTCCATTGTTCTGACGGCTCTGGAGAAGTGGAAGAGAAATCCAGAAGACCGTTCTCTTTCCATGAAACAGATATACTCTAATCTGAAGTATAATGTGTCCATATATAATACTCAATCTAATAGAACGGTGAGCCTGGGATGGAAGAGGGGCCTTGAATCTGTGCACTTCCTGCAGCTAGTGCTGGAACCAGCAGCCCAGGGGCAGGGAATCTGGGAAGGTGTGATATTCAAAGACATGTTGGGCGAGATATAGTGGAAGCTGATACATAGACATCTCAACAACGTCCTTCGGATTTCCCTCACAGACCCTCTCCGTCAGTGGGGTCTGATGTTGCTGTTGGGTGTGGAACAATTGTCCACCTCACTCTGATGGAAAGCTTCGACTTGCATGACATCTGTCAATCACTCTCCAAGAGAGAAAAAATGTCAGCAAGGACACAGGGCAAGATAGGGAAGAAATCCGTCCTTACGTTCTTATTTAGAATTGTCCCCAGAATGGTCCCAATTCCTGACCATGCTCTGCTGAGCTAAAGGAAAAGGGTATTTTAAAGCTGATGCTAGAAAAAAAAATTAAAAATCTTAACTCAGATCTCCATTTATTAATATGGAAAAATGTTCATAATTCTACTTAAATTTTTAAAAATGCATGACAGTATATGTTAACTAAATTGAATTTAAATAAAACTTTTTTTTTTAAGCCCAGCTTGAAGCAATAAAGAAGGATTTAGTGGTATCTCAGTGTTCTATCTCCTTCTAGAGCTGTCTGTCTGGGTGGTACTGGAATTCCGTGGCTCTAACTGCTGTTTGCCATCCCCTGCCCTAGTGGTCCCAGTGTGTGACCAACCAGACGCTGGTGCTGGGCTGGCTGGAGCCAGACACTCTGTACTGCGTCCATGTGGAGTCCTTCGTCCCAGGGCCTCCTCGCCTAGCTCGGCCTTCTGAGAAGCTGTGTGTCTGTACTTTGAAAGGTAAGCTTAGGGGCACCTGGGTGGCTCAGTGGGTTAAAGCCTCTGCCTTCAACTCAGGTCATGATCCCAGGGTCCTGGGATCGAGTCCCACATTGGGCTCTCTGCTCGGAAGGGAGCCTGCTTCCTCCTCTCTGTCTGCCTGCTTCTCTGCCTACTTGTGATCTCTGTCTGTCAAATGAATAAATAAAATATTTAAAAAATAAAAAAATTACAAGAAATAAAAAAAAAAGAAAGGTAAGCTTAAAAAGTCACAGCTGGTCTGAGGAGGGAACTCTGAGGAAACTAGGAGAAGTGTGGCAGTTAAAAACAAGGTTTGGGTTAATCCATGTCTACCAGGAACAGGTTGAGACAAAGGCAGAAACAATCATCGCCATAAATGCATTGAGCAGCCTGGGACTCTGTCGTTGAACTTGGCCAGCATTAGAGCATGTTTGCATCTTCTCAAGGAACTCTCAGCACCTGTCCTGATATCTGCTGCCAACAAGCTTCTTCCATGGGAAAAAAAAGCAATTAGAATTTTACACACATCTTTTTATTTCTTGATTTTAGTCCCTTTCGTCAAGAGAAGTTCTGTGGGGGCGCCTGGGTGGCTCAGTGGGTTGAGCCGCTGCCTTCAGCTCGGGTCATGATCTCAGGGTCTTGGGATCGAGCCCCGCATCGGGCCCTCTGCTCGGCGGGGAGCCTGCTTCCTCCTCTCTCTCTCTCTCTGCTTGCCTCTCTGCCTGCTTGTGATCTCTGTCTGTCAAATAAATAAATAAAATCTTTAAAAAAAAAAAAAAGAGAAGTTCTGTGGTCTACAAGAATGTCAAATGTTAGTGCTAGAAACAAAACACTATTCTAACAACACTTGCAGACAGCAGGCTTTGCTTACCCTCGGGAGTACAAATTACAGCTCTGCAAGCTGCATTCAGCTATCACTCACGGGCTGCTGGGATCAGCAAATCCACACTTACACCCTCATTTACATTGCTTCTCTCTCCTTCCTTTTGCCTTCTTCTCATGTTTTCTGAGTTTGGCTGAAGAGTCTCATTCCTATTAGAAGACAAAGAGTTAGGAGCTAGGCATTTGTGTATATGTTTCCCCAAGGGTCAGAGGACCTTCCACTCAAAACCTGAACATGGAAAATTAACCCTAAAGTTGACCTTCCTCGAATGGACCTCATCCATTATTCTTCCATCTCCCTTTTCCAAACCCTCTGGCCCAGGACAAATGTCACCCCCACCCCCTAGCCAGCACTGGTTCCATCGCCAGCAATGGGATGGCCATGGTGACAGGAGCCCTGCTTTCCTCTTCCCTCACGCTGCACAGAGCACAAGTTGAAACTGTCATAAGGAATCCAAAGGGGATTTTGTGATTTTCAAAAGTGAAAAGCTATATTTTTGAATCTCTGTCCTTTCATACCTTCCCCTAAAATGAAGGGTTCTCTGCCATATGTCAAATAAAACTGAAATGCAGAGCAAGCAAAAGGCAAAACAAAGCAGACTGAAGAAATCATTTCTGTATTTGGAAAAAGTGCTCTGTTTACAGCTTGATCAGTAGCCAAGTGTAGGAATGAATTTCCAGTGGAGAACATTTAAGCAGTTGGCAGACCGAAAGCAACTCAAATACGGATTCCATTAACTACTTCCCAGTAAGAGATGCAGCCAACTTTCTCACTAGTCTAGGAGAGGTGACAAAATAAGGACATACCTTTCCGGGTTCTGACCTTTTCCTTGATAGCCCAGCTGGACCACCTCTTTTGGGACCATCTCTGAGAAATACTTCTGCTCTCCATAATCCCCTGGTACTAAAATACAATTACAGTTTATTAGGTTTATTGTGCAAACATGTTCTGCTGTATACTGAGTGTCATTGGTCATTGTTGTCATGGCATGTTTTAAGTAGGGCAAGTTCAGTCCAGAGACCAGAGTCTGCATTCAGAGGACTAGGCGGCATCGTGGCCTCATGTGCAGTCGGTGATGCCGGCCACCTGCACCACCTACCTTGTGCTTTGCCACCTTTTCTTGTAGAACCTGATGACCGATGTGCTCCTTAGGAGCGGTTTGGGGTGGAAGAGGCTACCCTTGGAGCCCTGTACCTATACTTCTCTCACTGGCTCTTGTTGACCTCCCTCATTGTCCATGACACTTCTGTTTCCCCTCTCTCACTGGATAGCTATCTGGAGAGTGACATCATTGATTTGTCTCAGCCCTAGGCATCAAGAGTATCCAAACAACTGTACAGATGAAAGAGCTCTCATGACACTCTCACTGAATTCATCAGTATGTAAGGAATATACTGAAACTTTTGCTATGTGCACTAAAACTCTTTTTCTACTGCTGTATTAGTCAGGGTTCTCCAGAGAACAGAACCAACATATTACATATGGAGAAAGACAGAAAGATTTATTTTAAGCTGATGCCTCACATGACTGTGGAGACTGGTGAGCTCAAACTCTGTTGGACAGTCCAGCAGGCTGGATTCTGAGGAAGAGTTGATGCTACACTTCTTTTCTGAAGGTTATCTGCTGGCAGAAATCTCTTTCTCAAGGTGGTCACCATTTTTTCTACTAAAGCTATCAACTGATTAGACGAGGCCACCCATATTATAAAGAGTAATGTGTGTTACTCAAGTCCATTCATTTAAATGATAATCTCATCAAAAAATGCCTTTCAGGAACATCTAGAATCATGTTTCGCCCAATATCTGGGTACCACGGCCTAGCCAATCGACACAGACAATTAACTATTACAACTTCCAGTATCCTAGAGGAGCCCAACAAATATAAATCAGTCACATGAGTCCTATTCACAACTGTATAGTCTCATGAATGGAGGGCCAGCACTGCTTTCTTAAAAGCTGTTCACCAAGTCTTTTCATTCTTCTATGGACTTTTACTTGTCATGAACCCACAGTATAATAGGACCTGGAGGGGAGTCACTGCCATTCTCAGCAACACCAGCTCAGCCACTTCCTACACACATCCCAAGCTCCAGACCTACCCAGAAAGTCTAGCCAACCCACTCAGAGATGGTTCTGTTAGCCGGACATAAGGTAACGCCCACATTCCCGACTTCTACTGAATATTTGGAAATGGTTGAGTTAAATGACAGTATGGAAAAGTGAGGGCAGCTTAATAGGATCTTATCAAGAGGGTTCTGTTGCTTGGTTTAAAGTGTATAAGTTGCTGGAATAATAGACACACTTAGCTTCAAATATAAGAACCTGCATGAATCTCACGGCGAGACAAACATGTTGGAATATCTGCTGATTGAGTTGGTGATGCATCCACACTGTAAGGTTTGTGACAAGTCCAGATGAGTCCTGAAGACCAGCTCTTGTCAGAGTAAGAATTCTGAGACCCCCTTATCACTTTTCCTTCAAGCTTCTCAATTTATAAATGAAAAACTGAGCTCCTAATTTAAGTAATCAACCCAAAGTCACCTGACATTACCAATGTTTTCCTACCACCATACTGAATCACAACACTCTATTTCTTTCTTTTTTTTTTTTTTTTTTTTTTTTTTAACAGACCAAACATCAGCAGTGAAGGTTAAAATCATCTTCTGGTATGTTTTGCCCATATCTGTTACTGTGTTTCTTTTTTCTGTGATGGGCTACTCCATGTACAGATATATCCATGTTGGCAAAGAGAAACACCCAGCAAATTTGGTGAGTGCTCGGTGTGGCAGGAATGATCATAAACCCTCCCTTCCAGGCCAGTACAAAAGGAAGCTCTAGAGCAGACACAGCTCCCTTTTACAGGCAGCGTGGGTTTAAAGAGTGATGAATAAGAAAACACTTTTGCTACTAGTCTCTAGTAGCAAAGAGATTCCTCAGCTTTGACAAAGATTTCACGTGTCATGAGCAGATTAGACTAGGTCGCGAGGTACACAAATAAATTTAAGTCAGATCCATGCCCTTCCGGAGGTTCAAGTTAAGTTGGGAATGGGAATTTCAAAATGATACTTAAAGGTTACGATGAAAGCAGACAGTTAGGACTGTAGACGTACAGAGAGTTACAGGGAGAGCGTGGAAACCATGAGTAGGGGACCAGTAGAAGTTTTACATCCGGCCATGATTAGGAAAGGGGAGAAAGAGTTAGAGCACATACTTCTGGCAGAAAACCCAGAAGGGCCAAGGTGCGTGGATGTTTGGAAAACCACATGATATTGCTGGACCACAGGTTGCTGATGAGGAGTTACTGAAGTAAGACCAGAGAGTGGGTGTGAGGGCCAGGTAACAGGAGAATCAGGTGTTATTCTAAGCAGTTTGGGCTTTATATTGTCTTGGCTAGGAGAAACCTCTACGGGGTTTTGAATAGGCAGTGTTGAGGTCAATATCGTGTTTAAATCCAGTTAGATAGTGGGTCTAGTACACTGCTGGAGGGAATAAGACTAGAAGCAATAAAAGGAGCTAGAAGACTGTGCCAGTTCTCCAGGGCAAGAAAGGGAGCGTCTGAAAGAGGAGAATGGGATGTAGAGCTTGAGACTGGCATGAAATGGGGAGTACATTTAGGAGGAAAATGGCCAGGACAAGCATTCAGAGCAAGGAGAGCAAGAAAATATTAAGAAAGAATAAATACGCTTCCGGAGGGTTTAGAAGGGCTGAGCATATTTTAACAATAAGAGTTTCAGTGGGATAGCTATGGGGGAAGTGAGTGAAACCATCCCTACTCATGAGCCTCCTTCCCTCTTTGCATCCAGTTTGCATGCCCATCCACATTTCATGTCCAGGGTGCATCCCAGCCAGGCCTGGGAGTCCAGGAAACCACTGCTAGTTAACAAATACATGGTCAACAGTAATTAACAAAGCGATTTCCAAACTCTCTCCCTCAGCCCTTGCCACTTCTCATGTGGCAGAAATTCTGATTTTACACAATTAAAAACTGAGGCTCAAGAAATTAAATAAGTGCCCTGAATTCCCTGGGCCGGTTAGGGGAAGGGGCTTTCTACCCTGATCCTTGGACAGGATACCCCCACCCGCCCCCCAGGGACCACTGTTCACTTCCATAAGCCTTTGTGTGTGCGTGTCTCAGGTCTCTTGCCTCCATGGGAATGAGGCTTTCTGTTTATTCCAAGAATAACTGTCACTTCCATGAGTTGGTAAGAATAGGTTTTTAGAACTATGTGATGACAGTATAAGTTCTACTTAAGAGCTGTTTTTCATGTCTCAAGTGAAAAGGGGAAACCATTCTCTTCTCTCTTTATAGATTTTGATTTATGGAAATGAATTTGACAAAAGATTCTTTGTACCTGCTGAAAAAATTGTGCTTTATTTTATCATCCTCAATATTGTGGAAGATTCTAACATTTCTCATCAGGATGTAAGTGTAAGGGGAAAAAGCAACGATGTATGGGACCTGAATGAGCCCCTCATTCATTTAAGTATGGCTATTTAAAGTGGTCATATTAATATTTTATGAGAACTTCTGGAGTGTTGACCTAAATTGCCATTACTCTTTTGTAGTCAGAAAATGTCCTCTCAATAACATAGTAGGGTCGTTTAGTAGGGGGCTAACCTGAAAGAAAATGCCACCTTTTGTGATAGAATAGTACATTTATTTCTGGATATGTGTGTTTAGAAAGATATTTGAATAGTCAATAGACTAGAATGCGTTTATCCGCTGAAACACTATGTTACTATTGTAATACTAAATATTCTATTTGAATGAGCAATGCCAAAAGACTCCATGGAATATGTCTGAATGAATAGTCCCACCTACAGAATTTTTAAATCTATAAACAAGGATACAAAAAAGAAAGAAGTTAAACAAATAGGTACAGGAGAATGTATGAAAATTTGCCACAATTCACTGTGGGAACTAAAGTGTGCCATAAACAACACCATCCTAGGTAATTTCCAGCAACTAGTCTCATCTCCTTCACCATTCACCTAGAAAGGCAACTCTACTGACTGCATTAATATATGACAAAATCTCTAAGTTGAACCACATAAAATTATTGATATTTGACAATTTTTGACTTGCAGAAGCAGCAATATCATATTATTTGGCCTTAATATATGCTTGTTTTAATCATGAACTCGTGATCCTTTAATGCTCTTGCAGGAAAACAGGTAACATCGGTATTTCCTCATTTATATTTTGGCACGGGCGGACACCCCTGGTAGGAGAGATGGATTCTGGAGTCGTGGTCTTTAGAGAGTGTCCACAAGTCCAAACCGTTTCTGATTTACGGACTTAATTTAGACCATAATTACATTAACCAGAGTGTTCTGTTCCTCTTAATCTTGGTAGACATGACTCTGCTCATTTTAAAGAACAAATTTATAACACTAACTTAAAAGAAGTTGAGAAGAGGGAAAGAACGAGTCGTTATTAAGAGCAGAAAACAAAGTGATTGCTTATAGTTTGGCTTACTTGTTTTAGTCATAAAATATTTACTTAAGCACCTGCTGTGTCCTAGTGTCCTCACCTATGAAATTGGGATGACTACTCCCTCAGGGCTGTTTTGACATGAACAATGCTGGAATACAGAAGGCACTTAGAAAGGTGTCCGGCACATAGTGAGTGCCATGTGTTTATTGTTATTAATGGCCAGAGCATGGTGCTTAAGACCAGAAAGACAGGCCTTTTGGACACCACTATTTCAACTCAAAGCCCACATGTGCCTCACCTAGTTTTTCTTACCTGAAAGTACCATCGTACTTTACTTCTTACTTGATGCCTTCAAACTGAAATCGCCAATGGTTTTGGAAAAGGGAATCTAATTCTGAGTGGCTTTTACATCTCTTGTCATTCTAAGCATGGCAGGAGTATTGAGCTTTTCAAAAGTTGTGTTGCTTCTACCTCTTCCACATTAGGTAGGGTTTCCTCGTGAAAGCATCAAATCATCACCTTACTTCCGGACCCCACGAATTCTACATTGGGTGAATGAAAACACACCCACTACAAAGCGAATGAAGCCTAGTGTCACATCATGTGCATGGGAAGGAGGGACGTGAAGAGGGACACTGACCCCTACCAGCCTACAAGCCCCCAGGTTGAGCCAACTCCTGGGAAATCGATGCAGAGAAAAACTATTTGTACATCCCGGAGTGCACGTATGCCCAGCATGGTAAATCTGATGAGAACATTAAACAGAGGGCGCCATCAGCACAGATGAGTGAACCTGGATCATAAATCACATTGTTTCTGGCCCACACATTACAGCCCTCACATCTTGATGGGAATATTTGCTAACCTATCTTGGAAGAACTGGTTTTCCCTGTTTTCTTTGTGGTTCCCTTCATGATATCTTCCATAAACCTTCTATCTACTGGTGGTTTCTGTTTTTTCCAAAACTGCAAAAAAGCACATGCCTCTTGTTCTTTTACCCAAGACTGCTATGGTCATAGGTATTTTAATTGCTCTTATTTTTCAGTATAGGAGATAAATGTAGACATATTCATTGCAGAGTAACTAGAAGTGAAGGGGAGGAGTATAAAAATTACCTGCCAGACCCCCTCCCAGGTTTAACCACTGCAAACATATTAGGGAGAGAAGTGCTTCTCAACAGGGAGTGATTTTTCACCCCAGCAGATATCTGGCAATGGCTGGAGACATTTTTGATTGTCGTGACTCAGGGGAAAGGTGCTGCTAGTGTGGGGGCTGGTGGGAGAGGCCAGGAATACTGATAGACTTCCTAACATGCACAGGGCAGCCCCTCATAACAAATAGTTCTCTTGTTCATAATGTCAATACTGCCTAGACTGAGGGCACCTTGGTACACAATACTTGAGCATCTGACTCTGATTTCAGCTCAGGTCATGGTCTTAGTGTCATGAAATCAAGCCCTACATCATGCTGGGCCCAGAGTGGATTCTGCTTAGGATTCTCTCTCTCTCTCTTCCTCTGCCCCTCCTCCACTGGCACTTGCACTCTCTATTAAATAAAGACTTTTTTTTTTAATTTATTTGACAGACAGAGATCACAAGTAGGCAGAGAGGCAGGCAGAGAGAGGGGAGGAAACAGGCTCCCTGCTGAGCAGAGAGCCCAATGCAGGGCTCTATCCCAGGACCCCGAGATCATGACCCAAGCTGAAGGCAGAGGCTTTAATCCACTGAGCCACCCAGGTGCCCCTAAACAAAGACTTTTTAAAATATAATGCCTCAGTTGACAAACATTGGTGTGGAAATTTCCACTATCAATGTATCTATGTATATATATACTTTTATTTTGTTTTGTTTTTTGTTTTTTGGTCTTTTAGACATCCTAATTTTATTTTTTTTCAGTGTCCTAAGATTCATTGTTTATGCACCACACCCAGTGCTCCATTCAATATGTGCCCTCCTTAATACCCATCACCAGGCTCACCCAATAGCCCCCCACCCAAACCCTCAGTTTGTTTCTCAGAGTCCAGAGTCTTTCATGGCACTCGTCTCCACCCCCGATTTCCCACCATTCACCTTTCCTTCTCCTAATGTACTCCTCATTATTCCTTATGCTCCCCAAGTAAGTGAAACCATATGATAATTTACTTTCTCTGCTTGACTTGCTTCACTATATATTTTTTCCAAAAAGAGGAATCATATTGAACTCTTCTATAGATTGTCATTTTCACTCAAAAAATATAACTGATGGGTCTTAGGAGTTAACATGGTTGAAAATACGGGGACTCTAAGCTTGTTTTGATCCTCAAACCCAGGTAGGTATTTATTAAATCATTTTGAACACCTAAGAAATCAATCAGAGCTCTGAGAGAACAAAAACTACAAGTCTACAAGTAGAAAAACAACCACATTTTGGAAGGTAGGAGATGTGGATAATTGACTTGGGGGAGATATACTGTGGGTGCTTCATAGGTAGGAAGCCCTGCTTATATAGGCTACTACAAAGTAGTATATACAGTGGGGGGCAAGTCTGAACTTAGTAAAGTCTGCTATGGGGAGGGACATGCCTGGTTTAAAGGTGCTCAGGTGACAAAGAGTGCAGAGTGCCAGGAATGACAATGTGGTCTGAGGATCCTCTGGGTTTCAAGAAGAATGGGTGCCAGCATGATGCCGCATTTCCAAGCATGGGCATGGGGAAGGCAGCTGAGAGCAGTGCATCTTGGTGCCAGATTTCTGCTCTGTTTTGCCACAAACTGCAAACCACTGTGCAGTCATGAGGAACTGTGCTCCCAGGGCCAGCTGGGAAATGGCAAAAGCACAGCAAGACCCTTCCCCAGAGGAACAGTGTGGGTCATCACCACAGAAGTCCCTAAAACTTGGAGTTTTGAAATTCAGTCACCTGCCTGAGATATATTTAAAAAAAAAAAAAAAGGCATGGAAACAGGCAGGGAGAACAGTGTTCAGATGAAACCAGGAACACAACAGGGGTGATTTATTACTCTTCTGTGAGGACTCAATGAAGAAGTGGGGACATGAACTTTCGGCTCTGGAACTACAGAGAAGAGTGCCTCCATACTCATCCCACTCATCCGTACTGAAAAGCCTTCAGGGAGCAAAACTGTGCCATCTCATGTAGGCCAGAGCCTCTTAACCAAACCCCACCTCCCTGCACACTGAACACACATTTCCACTAGGGCAAAGCCACCTGAGAATCAGCACAGCAGGCCTCTCCTACAGAAGACCAGCACAAACTCCTTGCAGGCACCAATTCTACTGAGCATAGAGTGCTGCAAAGTTTTAGCTCTAGAGGAAATAGGATCTGGCTTCCTTTCTACTTTTATTCTTCATGTTCTTAGTATTATTTTTTTCCTATATTTTCTTAATTTTTCAGTTCCTTTTTTATTTATTATTTTTAAATTTATATATATACATATATACACTTTGCATATATATATTTTTTGTTTTGTTTATTTTCATTTCATTTTATTTTTTATTTTTGGATCTAGATTCTTTTAACAAACAGAACAAGACACACCAAGAATCTAGCTTTTTTGGGGTTGTTTGTTTGTTTTTTCCTTTCTTTCTTTGCTTTGTTTTGTTTTGTTTTTATTTTCTTTCTTCTTTTCTGGAAAAAAAAATGGCAACATAGAGAAATTCACCCTAAAAGAAAGAATAAGAAGTAGAACTCACAAGGCAGGGATTTAATCAATACAGATATAGGTAAGATGTCCAAATTAGAATTTAAAACAATTATTATAAAGATACAAAATGGGCTTAAAAAAAAACACAGAAGATATTAGAGAATCCCTTACTGCAGAGATAAAAGAACTAATGTCTAGTCAGGCTGAAATTAATCCTATAACCAGGATGTAAACCCAAATGGACACCATAAAAATGAGGCTGGATGAAACAGAGGAGTGACTCAGTGACATCAAAGATAAAGTTATGGAAAGTAATGCAACTGAAAAGAAGAGCGAAAGAAAGGTAATGGATCATGAAGGTAGAGTTAGAAAACTCAGCAACTTATTAAAACATAATAATATTTGTATCAAAGGAGTCCCAGACGAT